CGGTTGGCGCTGTAGAGCTGAGCTTGCGTCGCCGGAAATGTTGGGTTCGCGGCGGCGGCGGCGGCCGGAGGTTTCGATGCAGGGTATACTCTGTCGTCGGTCATAGTGGGGAGAGAGAGAGAGAGATGAGGGAGGAGTAAAATTGGTATATGTTTTTATATATGCGGTGGCGGAATTTCAGCGAAGCTCGAGGTTTTGTTTGTTGTTTTTATACAATTTTGGTAGATTACCATTAATTTTGGTATTATTGATTTGGGTATATAATAATTTTCCAATTTCCTCGAATATTATATTTATATATATTATATATATATAAAGGTGAAAAAAGTTGTGGAGGAAGTGGGGATATAAAGTTATAAACAACTGGTAGGAGGAACTGAGTGACACCCAACGCGAATAAGGGACTCCACGCGCACATTTTATCGCGTGGGACCAACGCGCCACGCGGAAACATTATTTACCACTTTTTCCGTCAACCGAAAAATACATGTATTTGTAAACATAATATCTTCTTTTACGTTTTCCTATTTATGATATATGGCTAAAACTTTTTTTCCACGCAACTTGTCTCTGGGTGATTAGCTCTGCCGCTACTATCCGTAAACGGAACGGTCACGATTTTTGACGGTTATAGATGATTAAAAACTTGATAACCATTTGCAATCGCAATAAATTTGTGTTTTGTAATCACAACTTTCAACTTGTATTTTGGTAACATTTTTTACGGTTTTGACAAAAAATAATAATATCTTTATTAAAAATTATATAAAATACTAATATATATATATATATTAGTGATGATTTTATTTAGTGTTATGATTTGATATTATTTTCTAGTATTATATTTTAATAAAAAAATATAATAGTATAATTTTTAGATTTAATAATGATTATTTTAATAATTTTTATAATAATTTTTTTCACTTAAAAATAAAAATAAAGTAAATTGATAATATTTATATTTAAAATTATTTTAAATAATATTCTTTTTTATAATTTATATCAAAACGTAATATTAACTGCAATGAACCATTCATTTCTAACCGTATTTATCCGCAGCCATTGTTGTTAGCATCTTATCGATCAGTCATTACTAATCGTTCATAATCACTATCAAACGCTCCGAAAATATTATCATCCGCAATTGTAATAGATGTTGTATAGCCAGTCAAACCCATAATATCAATTGATCTATATATAAATAAATAAATATATTTAGAAACTTTTGTTGTAGAAATATTAATAATATAATAAAAAAATAGATGATATTAGTTTAAATTTACTATAATGTTTATAAAATTAATAATTATATTTCAGGGTATAAATTAATTTCTATTAACGAAATTGGAATATATACATGTGTTTTGTCATTTGTCCGGTATACATTAGGCCATGTGAGATGGAACGTGAAATCATTCACCAAACATGCGATGTTTTTTTATGATTGGTTGATATATACGCTCTCTCTCTCTCTACATATTTTTAAATGTTAATTTTTGAAATATAAATTATTTAGCATCTATTTATAACATACAAATAAATTAAATATGTATGTACTGTAATTTGTTATTGAAAAATGAAAAGCTAACGATTCATAAAATTAAGATAAAAAAAGTTATTTAATTTTTTGTTTAATTCAGTTTTTATGGTTTTTATCTTTTTAACTCCCACGAATATTAAGAAGAGCCTCACGTCAAATATATTTGAAAACTTCATTGTTTATATACAATAATTTACTAGTTTTTTTTTTACAAACAAACTTATTTTAGTTAAAAAACAAAATGGTTTATAGAATAAGAATTATAGAAGATGAACAATTATTTAATCTTTCAAAATTTTAGAATTTTATTTTTAATTGATTGAATCGGTATAAATAATACAAGTTTTCTTTCATCCTGTTAGTGAGAAAGCGAGTTTAATCTCAATTTTATCAAATTGAATTATTTTAATAAATATTTGTTGTGTGGATGATAATTTTACATGAATTTTTGTATTCCCGAAAATAGATAACAAAACGCGTGAATGTGGGAGATTGAATGCACGCGCTATTTAGCGAGAGTGAGAACAAAATGGAATTAGAAACCAAAATGACAGATGTCACGTATGACCGGCTCCAGCTTCTTCCTCACACAATCGCTTTGTCAAACACGTGTTGAAAATTGTATTGTTTTTATTTCATTTTTAAAAAAAAACTTTTATAAATATTTTTTATCATCGAAATTTAAATATAAGATCATTTAGTACTAATTAAACTATCCAATATTCATCATTATTACAGATGTTAATAGGATTATATATATATATATTAATTCAGTGGTGGATCTATGTTGAAAGGAGCGGGGACATGCCCCATTTGATTGATTAAAAATAAGAATTTTTTTGTAAAATTTATAAGATTTTAATTAAAATTATTAGGTGTCCCGTGATAAATTATTTTTACCATTCAATAAAATTAAGTTTGCTCGCATTGACAATATATTTTTTTGGCAAATAAGTAACTATGTTAAAGAAGGGGAGTTTCATGACAAATACGAATTTTATTAGGATAAATAATGTAGGAGATTATATATAGAAGTGCTCACGTTATGAGTTTTTGTAACTTAGCTGGTGAGAATTTATACGAGAGAGAAATTATCGTGTAGGTTATGAGAGTAAGTAAACATATAATTTCATTTGATGGATTGATTTTTATTTTTATTTTTTGTGTGGATAAGTTGTGTATTTGTATTGCTTAAAAAAGGAAATATCGTAAAAAAAAATTCTATATTTTTTTTACTTATACTTATTTATCCAAAAAATCTTATACTCTTAAAATGACACAAAAACACTATATTTTTTTATTATATTTTTAATTTATTCGTCGAAATATACTTTTATTTTATAAATTCTACTAAATAAACTCCTAAAAGCAAACGTCCAAAAAATACGGTAAAACATCTTTGGAACCTAACTCAACCGATATATATCCGAACCGAATCGAACCGATGAAAATTTCAAATCCGAAATAACTATATTTATTTAAATACCATATTTTTATAAATATCCGAATCCAAAATAACTGAATCTAAAATATACCAGATTAGAATTATATTGATCAGATTCGGTTCGGTTATTTCGGATTTGAAATATTCATATCCAATATAGTAAATTATTTTAATCGGTTCGATTCGATTCGGATATATATCGGTTGGATTAGATTTGGACATATTTTTTACGAATGTTTTGGGGGTTTGCGTCGAAGGATTTATTTGATAGAATTTATAAAATATAGATATATTTTGGTGAATAAATTATAAAAATAGGGTTTTTTAGATAATAAAAAAAATTAAAGACTGTACAAGATTTTTTTTTTTGAAATAAATACAAGTATAGGGAAAGCGGAGAGTTTTTTTTGCGATTTAAAAAAATTGGGTGGTACAAAGATTTGGATCCAAGTACACGTCATAACGCAGGGAGATAATCTTGGATAATAAGCCGTTACGTTGGGTCTTTTTGGGCTTTATGGTTCGGCCCATTTTAAGATCCAATCAAACGTCCACTTAAATACAACCCTAAAAATCACTAACATCCATTAACAAAAAAAAAGAAAAGTAGATATATCAATAATACATTCCATTTCTTATTTTAATCTCAATACATCCCTTTCTTCAAATATAACCATATATGATATGATTTTATTAAACATTAAATTTATAATAATCTCAATAAATGATTAATGTGATATATAAGATATGACCATAGTAATTTGATATAATTATCATAAATTTAAACGTTATGATTACTATAAACATCATATGATTATCTTGCATTTTGATAATTCGTTCATAAGGTTTGTCAAATTTTTCTCCCTATTAATATATTAAATTTGAATTTGTGAATATTAAAATATTAATTTGCGAAACCTATTCCATTGAAAGATGGAACTTCAAAATATTTCCTTTTGAACCAAGTGGAGATTAATTAACCATTGTTATTTTACATGGCTATGAATACTTTCACCAATCCAAGACATGCAATCTCGTTTTGTTCTCTTTATACCGACAATAAATAAAAAAAATATATTTCACATTTAATTTAGTTTCTAATCCTAGATGAGAAACCAACAAGGATATTACAACTACAATAACCATAAAAAAATATATATTGTAATTACAACTTATAATCAATATCAACCAGAAATTAACCTTTGATTTTGAATATCAAAGTCTTAAATTCTATTAGTAAACACAAACACTATCCATTTCTACTCAACATTTTCATATAAGTAAATAATATGTCATTGTAACTATCGGATGGATTCTAAAATTAATAAAATGTTTTTTTTTAATCTAATTCTAGAAATCAAATCAAATAATATAAAAATGGGCAACAATTTTTAAAATAAGTTTTAATTAAAAATAAATAAAATAGAAAGTTGCGAGCCAAGCCAATCTCCTCTCTCTCTCTCAATCTAACGTCAATTTTTGTCACAGTTCACAAGCAATCTCTTCCTCAAGCTCTCTCTCTCTACCAATAAAGCCATATCATCTCTCTCTCTTCCATCGTCAGACCCGCTCTCTATCTCGTCAAATTTCTCCACTTTTCATGATTGTATCGTCTCCATCTTCCCTAGGGTTTTGATTTCGATTCTCCCATCCAGACCCACAACGAAATCATCGCCATCGTCTACTTCATCGGATTTTCTCCACTCTCTCTCTCTACCATGACCACGACATCCGTTAAGAACAATGGATTGCCTGCGGGTCTCGTCTCGAATCTCCAGGAAGTGCTTTCGAAGAGAAGAGGAGGAAACGAAGAAGGTGGTGAAGCCGCCGATGGATCGGGGCCGGAGCCTCCGTCTACCTCCGACGCCGCCGAGACGGCTCCTTCTCCGGCGGAGGAGGAGATCGGCGACTCGAATCCCATTGTTTTAGTCACGAACGCCGATGGGATTGATTCCCCTGGGCTCGTCTCTCTCGTCGAGGCTCTGGTTCGAGAAGGGCTTTACAATGTCCATGTCTGCGCTCCTCAAACGTGCGATTTCTCTCGCTACTTGCCGATCCTTCTGTCTGGGCTGTTTTCATTCGTTAAATTGTTGGATGGATTCGTTCTCTTGTTTATGTCTCCTTTCGGTGCGTTGCTTTGGTCAAACTTCAGAGATTTTTGGTGATAGAAGGGCCCTGTGAATTGGAATTTGCAGGGACAGATCATCTTCTGGTCATTCCATGACTCCCGGAGAAACCATTGCTGTGAGTTCTGCAGACATGGAAGGTGCCACAGCATTTGAAGTTTCGGGTATGGCCGCCATATACGATGATTACTGTATAGTTTTCTACAAGTTTCTGATACATACTTGTTGGACTGGTTTAGTTCTCTAATCTGAAAGTTTGAGTCTTTACTGAAACTAAGGAATCTCTTTGCTTGCTTCATCTTTTCTTCGTCACTTTCGTGCCTTAATTCAAGGGATTTCAAGTGTGACTTGGCACTTTGGTGATCATTTGTCTTCTTTCCTTGCAAAAAAAAAATGTGAACTTTATGTCGTGAGAATTAGTGTTTTGTTTCAAAATTTTAATAAAATGCCTTGATAGTAAAGGCTTGGAAATCATTCTTGTGGCTCAGGGACTCCTGTGGACTGCATCTCTTTAGCATTATCTGGAGCCCTCTTTTCTTGGTCAAAACCAATTCTGGTTAGCATTTTGTGTGACTGATCAGAAATTTTGTATCCAGCTTTTCCTTTCAAGTTTTCAGCTTTGTTTATTCTCATTTTTTCAGGTGATTAGTGGGATTAATCGGGGATCAAGCTGTGGGCATAACATGTAAGCATTTCATGGGTATCATTTGGCTCCTACATGGTTTCGGGTTGATGGTTCTGCCATTTCGAGTATTCTTTGAACAATGTATCTGATTATTCATCTCTCTTTTCTGTTCAAGTTAATACTAGCAGTTTGCTGTAAATTTTGTCTGCTTTGGGAATCCTTCAGGTACTATTCAGGAGTAGTTGCGGGAGCCAGGGAGGCTTTGATATCTGGTGTACCCTCGTTGTCAATATCGTTGAATTGGTGAGCATATCTTGAGAATGTTAATTATTGCATCATAGTTGCATATTTGTAATTCCTGGCCTTAGATTCTTTTCTCGATTATAGGAAGAAAGATGGGAGCCAAGAAAATGACTTTAAGGATGCTGTGGGTGTCTGTTTACCACTGATAAATGCAACTATCAGAGACCTCGGGGAGGGAGTTTTCCCCAAAGACTGCTCTCTGAACATAGAAATTCCAACATCTCCCTCAACAAACAAGGTATGTATTCTTGTATAAATGCTCGTGAGAAACAAAATATGCCATTGCTGTTGTTGGCTCGGGTGTATCGATATGCGGAATAAGTGGCCATTTGCTGTCCTTTTGCTCTGTTTTAGGAATTGATATTAAGACCTTCACCTGTTGATTTGTGGAAATGGAAATACTTCAAAAGATTTATATTACTTAGTTCAGTGTGATGGGTTTTGCTGAATTTTAATGCTATCTTCTCTCTGGCTGACGTTCAATCACATTGTTGAATGTATATCATAATTAGCTTACACATTGGAATTCTTTAGCCTTTGGTTGAGCAATGTCCTGTCAGATTGATAATGTATGCAATATGAATCCTTGTGCTTCATCCTATGGTTGTATGGTTGGAAAACCATGCGGTGCGTAAGTCCTCTGTTTCTATTTTTATGGTGGTTTTGTGCCAACTCCTGTTGTGACTTGTGGCCCCTAAAAGCTCGTGTCCTGTTGTCTTCGTCTTTTCAGCCTAAACACGATTTGAAAGATTAACATCGTTGTTATTGTTTGTACATCTTTCGGTTGTATTGAAAAATAGTATGTGGGACTAGTTCCTTATCGTCAACCTGAGACTTGAAATACTCCCTAATGAGTATTGGAAGTGTCTAAGATTGACGCGCTGTTACCTGGTTATGGACCAAGGGCAGGCCTGAGGTTGGCTTTAGTGAGAGAAAAAGTTCCATTTAAAGGAAAACATTTCACAGTATAAGGCTTCATAATTTTACATAGACCATGCATTAGAGGAGGTCAATATGTTACCTTGCCGTTATATATATATATATATATGATCAGGGTTTTAAAGTAACGAGACAAAGCATGTGGAGACATAGTCCGAGTTGGCAAGCTGTTTCAGTAAATCGTCACCCAGGTGCCGGGAACTTCATGTCCAACCAACAGAGCTTAGGACTCCAGCTTGCCCAGCTCAGTAGAGATGCTTCAGCTGCTGTGAGTTTAGTTCAGATGGTTTCATCCTCAGCCAATTGTTGTTTTTTTCTAAGTTAGAATCCGAGTTAAAAAGATGGATGGCTGACTATCTCAGGGGGCAGCTCGCCGTTTGGCCACACAGAGGAAGAGTATTGTGGAGATTGAATCGGTCGGGATTGCCGGGAAAGCTGATAACCGTGTCAAAAAGTACTTCCGACTAGAGGTAAAGAAGGTGTTGGTATCTCTCCAGTATGATGAGAATAAGATGTGTTCATCGTTGATGAGAATCTGTATATATATATATATGTTGACAGTTTCTGGACAAGGGACAAGAAGATATGGAGGATGATTTGGATTGGAAAGCAGTTGAAGATGGATTTGTAAGTTGGAAGCGACCATGTTTTTGTTTTTGAAGGAACCAATATGTTTCATGTTCTGAATCTACTTTCATGTTACACCCTGTTCTGGGGTGAAACTGAAACAGGTTTCTGTAACCCCGCTGTCTCTACTTCCGAAAACAGAATCAGAAATTCAAGCAGCGACGTCAGAGTGGATCTCTGATCGCATTCGACGCTGATCAGATGAGAAAGGGTCGAGACGGTGGGAATTTCGTCTGCTGGTTTTGTTGTTGAGTGTATGTAGAGAGTTTGGCGACATGGGTCTATAACCAGAACCCGGGAAACTGTTAGTACACTTCTTGATTCCATAGCTGTAACAGTTTGCTTGTAACCAAGGTTTCTGGTCCGTACTCCGTATGCCGCCACATACTTTTGTAGGTTTCATTACATCATAACTTGTGGAATATGTAACTTTGAAATATTGATATCTGTGTCTTTTTATGCTTCAACGGCAGTATAGGAGTAACCATATATATATACGTGCATTTGTCACTTTGGATTTGTGATGAAACAGATTGTTAATTAGAGATTAAGAGAGTGAATCATTGATTAAGGTAAGAGCCCAATCTTTTGTCTTTGATCAATTATTAAACCAGAGATTAGATTTTACTAAAAAATATTGATTTTAATAAAAAAAAAAGTATTCAGTTTTATTTAAATTCAATTTAATTTGAAAATAATATCTATATAGTTTATATATAATATATATTCAATTGAAATATGGATATAATTTGGTTAGCAGTTAGAGGGAACGATTTTGGGAAAATGACAAATGGGAAAACGCATACAAAAATACAGTGTATATATTACAAAATGGGGACATGCATCGAGTCCAAAGCGACATATAACTGCAACGGACCAAATGCATAAACCAATAAAAACAAAAGAAGATCTAATCCACTAGAAATGACACGTGGAAATGCATTTTGATCAAAGCTGGATGGATGTCCACGTGTAGAAAAGTGCATGGGCCTAAAAAGAAAATAATAAATAATAATAATAATAATTATGTTTGGTCTTTTCCAAGGACTTTGGTAATGCACAATAATATTTGCTTTACTTGCAAATGAAATGAAGCTCTCCCTTTAAAACTTTAATGGCACACTCAATGTTTTGGTTTGGTAGATGATGACAAAACCACACAAGTATGATGTGTATATATATAAATAAAAAACTCTTTCTAACCATTATTTGACGTTTGTCTTCCATTACATCTATGACATGACATGTTTTTTTATTTTTATTTTTGAAGTATTTTCTTTTTATTCATTAATCGAATAATTTGTATTAGTATATTTATCAAATCTAATCTAAAAATTAGATTAATGAATAAAAATCAAATTCTATTTGAAAAATATATATTTTTAATAATAAAAATCGAATCTAAAATTTTGAATATTAGTAAAATTAAATTGGATATTAAAATAGAATAGATTTAATTTTTTTGTAAAATTGAAAAGAATCGGAAGTTGCTCAATTGGGAAACATCATGTTCGAATAAAACGATGCTTAATCATTTATTTATTAGGATATTAATTAAATTATTAAGAAAACAATAAATCCATTCTAATTTACACCAAATTGTTCGAATTTAAAATCTATAGTTAAACATGTCTATTACTTTATAAAAAGATCAATAATTAAAAAAATATCTTCATGTAAAGAACAAAAAAAAGAGGAGCGCGTGTAGTTAAGACCACATGATTTGTAGGGCGGCTAAACTTAATTAAGAGTGTTAATAAAATAAAAATTATGATTAATCAGAAGACGACAAGACATTATGGGCACTGCGATTAGCCATTTTAAAAAAAAGGCTCCACAAAAAAAAAAAAAGAGAGAGATCATCTTCACTTTGAATGTCAAAGGGATGATAAAAAAGGCAATTGTTATTAAATATTTAAGCTCTAAAGATAAATAATGAACCAGAAAGTGGTGGTGGTGGTGTTCTTGGACATGGTGGCTGCCCAGAAAACTTGAGAGAGAGAGAGAGAGGCGACATAGAAGAGGACAGAAGAAGATAGATGCAGACAGAGAGAAAGAGACAGAGACAAGTGTAGATATATACATATATATATATAGAGAGAGGTTCGGTTCACTTGTTCTGGAGAAACCAGAAGACATGCAGAAATCAGCTTTGTTGTTCTTCCTTGCTCCAACGAATACCTAAGAAGGTCTCTCTCTCTCTCTCTCTCCCTGACTCTGAATTGTGATTCGTCTTCATTTGTCCTCTGTACGATTTTGGTACATCTGTTTGGTGGCGGCGTGTGATTTCCATGCCCTGATTTGGAGAATTCTGCAACTGAAATGTTTTCCAAAGCCAACAACGCCTTCGGACCAAAAAACCGGTGGTGGGTTGGGGTTTTCTTGGTCGGAAAGCTGCGTTTTCCGGCGAAGTTGTTTACCTGTCCATGATAGTTCTGAGTATGATTAGATTCCGGATTAGGGTTCATCTCAGTATTCACAGATGTTTTTGGCGATTTCTTAATAGAAACAACCTCTTTTCTTCCCAGTTTAATCCGTATTTTGTTTCTGGGATCTTTCCCCCATTTGGGGGTCAACCGCTTCTTTGTCCTTGATCCTCGATACTTTTCTTGTCAAACATGTCTTGAAGAAACAAATCTCTGTCCTGTTTCCTTGAATTCCATCGAATTCATGGGATGTTTTTAGATTTTTCTTCACCTTTGTGGAGTTTCAGATTCTGTCTAGTCGACTGTCCTGTCCAAGGTTCTTGTTCTTCGCTTCTGGTTGCTGGTTTCTGCATCTTATATCTGTTTCCTCAATGGCAAAAACCATGAATCAAGATCCACTACGATTTGGAGCTCTTAACTTCAGGGCTTTTCACTGTATAAATCACCATTAACAAAAAGGATTGATCATGATATGTGCTCATCACCATCATGTCCAATAACAATCTGAATCTTGATTTCATGCATGGTTGAATGATATGTTACTGATAAAGCTTGTCTCGGTATTGCCTGCTTGTCGGTTCATAGAGAAGATCGATCTTCCCATTCAACCCCACAATGACTGAATCACTGATCTTGAAAGTGGATTCAATGCCCAAGCATCTACAAAACACAAAGCAGATGAGTTTTCAGGACCATGATTCATCTTCAACTCAATCCACTGGTCAGTCTTATACCGAAGTTGCAAGTAGGGGAGACAGTAAACTCTCCAGACAAATCTCGTTTTCAACACAATCAGGTTTGTGTTAACAATACCGGGTTTTCATCCGTCATTAGTTGTAAAGACGGAGGATATGATCTTTACGCTCGATTTCTCGGGTATATACAGAATAATGCTTCATTCTTGAAATTTCTTGTTCAGGATATGGAGAAGCTCGAGATAAGGCATTTGTAGATAATGTTAGATCGGCCTCGCCAACGGGATTCCCCGATATTCACTTCGCTCCGTCTCAGGTAGCTTATAAATCTAATTATCACGGTTATTTTGGACCAGTGGATTAGCAATGGTATCTTACTTTACATGTGGTTCATGTTGCAGGCTCATTTTTCTCTCCATTGTGCTGAACCGCAGTTCGGTGGCTATTTAACTGCCACTTATGCGCCACAGGCAACAGTAACGGTAAGTATCTTCCGTTGAAACGAAGGAATGCTCTTTTTTTTTTTAATGATTTATCTGAAGCATTCTTGAGTAATATACATATGTATGTATATTTATGTCCCATGAGATTTGTCCTTGCAGATGTGCAGTCCCCAAATGGTGGGTTTCGTCCCCTCTCGAGTTCCGCTGCCCGTAAACCTCATGGAAAATGAGCCGGTCTTTGTCAATGCGAAGCAGTACCATGCCATTCTAAGGAGGCGGCAGCAACGTGCCAAGCAGGAGGCACAGAACAAACTAATCAAATCCCGCAAGGTAACATTCGCTATCATCTGTGAACTCGTGCTGATCTTGTAACTCCCATACTTAGATGGAACACGTTATGTTATCGTACCCGTCACTTGTTTCTTTACCTCTCCTCATGTCCGGGCACAAGCATTTACCCGAAACAGTATGATAATGATGAGTTACCGATGTTTATGGCAGGCGGGTATGAATCTCGGCACATTCATGCTCTGAAAAGGCCTAGGGGATCTGGTGGAAGATTCCTAAACACGAAAAAGCTTAAAGAATCCGAGCATGGCGGTGCAGAGCAACAGATGGAGGGGAACAAGAACATGTCTCGGTCTCGGTTCGAGATTCATCACCACCTGGAAAACAGCAAAGAACATCACGGTTCGACCACTTCTTGCTCCGACATCACGAGCGCATCAGACAGTGCTGATATCTTTGGAAACCCGGAATTCCAGTTGCCGGATTACCCGTCCGAGATAACCCTAACCCGAGCCACGAATTTCCGAGATCGATCTGGTGAAATGCATGGAGGTGGCGGTGGGAATGTGCATCATTTCTCTGTACGCATCTGAAGAAGAGATTGGAGATATGGTGCTTGTTGAAGTTCCCCCCCACAGGGAAGTCATCCTTGGCTGCTTTAGTTTTGTGTCTCTCTTTTAAGTGTTTTTTCTTCTTCTTCTGCAGTTTGTTGTTCAGACAGACAATCTCTTGAACCAAACCGAACAAACTCACTTCTCAGCTTTGTTTTTGTCGTTCTGTGCCACAATGAATCATCTGTTTGTGTGATTTCATAATGGGAATGCTATTAAATCAAGTGTATATCTAGAAAAAAATTATTTTTAACATGTGATGAACACAATTTTTTCATGGAGACGTTTATAAAATTTGATTAAAATGTGATAAATTTTATTAAAAAAAAATATTTTTTTAATCAAACAAATGGGGATATATGGGAGTGCTATAAATTCAAGTGTGTCATAAAATCACAAACTTGTAATCATATATATATACACACACACATGGGCACACCCAATTTGACATGAAATATGTCCCCAATTAAAAATTCGAGAAACCGGTACTAAGATGATTGTTTCGGTTTGGATAAACACAAACGAACTTATGTTGGATAACATGAATTGAACCGAACTAAACCGGTAAAAAGAAATGATGTGGAATTAAGACAATGTGGTTCGGTTGATTTTATGTGAAGAGCGATACATTTGGGGGTGAAATGATTATATTATTATTATTATTATTACCATTTCGCCGTTGACAATCTTCAGATTATAAAATTATTTGTTTATTTGTGACAATTCAGAGAAAAAAAATATCTTCAATCTTACATGAGCGAAAACCGAGAAGATTCTACGACGATTCTATTACCAAGAGATACGATTCTTGCAATGTTAAAATATATATTATTAAAAAAAAAAATCAAGAAGCTAACGATTTCATTGCTGTAAATTGCTAATTATAAACACATTATCAAATAAAATATGATCGTTAGATGTTCATACTGATGTAATAACAACGACCCATCTTTTTTTAAATAGTTCCGATAATTACATCCGTTTATTAAAATTTCCAAATATAAATAATCATATTTATGAATTTGAATCCACGTCATTTCAATCAAGTTATAAAATACGTGGAAAAGAGTAATATATGAAGAAACACGAAACGAACGAGTTAATTAACATACAAAAACTACGACCCGAAACAACTAGATAATCTAAAATAAAATCAAAATATATAATTCTCTACAACTTATCAAATTTTACTTGTATCATATTGTATTTGTAGAACATTGTATTGATTAATATTGTCATACGGTTCACATCTATATGTTAGAAAAACAAATGAATATTAGTAATAAATGATACTTAACAAAACGACGATGCAAATTAAAAATAACATTTTCTTATTTATAAACACCAAAGATTTGATACATTCGTTACGAGAGTGAGATGGAAAGAAACTTGACAGAACGATAGAAGAACAAGAACAAGAAAAAGAAGAAAAAAGACATCAGATCTTCTGTTCTGATCCATTGTCACCGTCATCGTCATTTCAGGGCGAAACCCTCTTGGTTCTTTGCAGAGAGCCGCTTCAAGAACTCGTAGGTTGTGATCATAGTGGTTGCAGACATCGACATTGAAGCACATCTCGGCCCGAGTCCTCTGTAACAAGCCATCCATCCACCTTCCCTTACCAAATTCCGAACCGTTTGCCCGATTGTCGGCCCACACCGCTTCCCGCTGCTACTATCTTCGCCGTCTAGAACCTGCAATCTCGTCTTAATCGTGTCCAGTGGCATTGTGATCAGAGCAGAGACACTACCTGCCATGGCGGCACTCACTCCTTGAACAGCCATTACCGTCTTGGAGTCGGGCTTGATCGTATTGTTTGCTTCATCACTGTCTTTCTTACAGACATAACACCCGATTCCGCCCCAAACCATCCTTTGTGCAACCGAGTAAGATGCCCACCAGACCGCGTTAGATGGAGCGTAAGTCAGAATCGATATCCCGAACCCTCTGTATAATCCCCTCAGCCCATCAGTTTTGACGATCTTTCTAAATGCATCGAACCCGTTGACGTATTTACACCTCGACGCATTAACCGCCAGTCCACTGCCTCCTTGAACCATAAGCCTTTGGCTCACAACGTCAACCGGAGTCCACACGAGCTGAGCAGCCATTGCAGCACTCAGGCCCCCGACAGCATTGGCCAAAGCAGCAGCCTTGGCCTCTGTAAACCCTAAACTAACAGCCACGGAGCCTACGTTACTCTTCGTGACCTCCAAGGCTGCCATGTACAAGGCCCGAGCAGGGATTGTTCCCGTCAAAGACGTACCAAATCCTCTATACAAACTCCTTAGACCATCGTGCCTGACAAGCGCAAACGCTGTCCTGACGCAGGAAACTTGAGATTGGCAAACTTGTTGCCTTGTCTTGATCAGAACCGCAGGGTAAAGAGCTCCTGATACCCCTGAAAACAAGGCTGCACCGAGGAAGAAGAACTTCGATTTATCGAGCATTTCCCAATTGATATCAGCTGGGATGTGAATCTCCTGAGCCGATTCTTCCTCGGCCGCTCCAAGATTCATCTTCGCCACTTTTCACTGGTGTTTAACAGTTTCAGAGCTACGGTCTCTACCTATGCAAAACCGTCCTAACTCAAGAACAACGAAGAAAATCCCACTCACATCCGGAGATTCTATAAACCCTAGGATTTTACAAGCACAAAACTGTCAGAAACAAATTCGCCAGCAATAACAGGGAGGATTTCAGAAGGCAGAGATCATCAAACCAAGAGAAGACGGCATTTTTTCCTCCTGCGCAGCCACGTCTTGGATCCAACACGATCGCTCAAACCACGCGAATTTAGATACATCTCTGAATCGATCGAAGTCGGAACCCAGAAATTGACCTTACCGGAGTTACGATCATCCTCGCCGCAAGCGACAGGAAAATCTCATCGGGACAGGTCCAATACCTTCGACGGAGATACGCGCGCGAGAGATGTATGTATATGGAGAGGAAGCGAATCCGAACGAGAGGAAAAAGCTATGCAGTGTCAATAGAGAGAGGGGGCTAGGGTTTACTGCGCCTCGACTCTCTTGCATGACATATGAGAGAGAGAGAGAGAGAGAGAGAGAGAGAGAGAGAGAGAGAGTTACAAGTTTTTCGGGGTAAGAAGACGCCGGTTTAGGGTTTGGTCCTAACCGACTTCGGTCCCGGTTTATCTTTTTATTCCGATTTCACGTTTTTGCCCTATCAATTTTCAGAAACAATTCTATTATGATTAATTTTAAATTTTCATTGAAATAGCAATAGTTACCAAATTTGGATATGAAATAAAATAAATAAAAATGATATAACTGATTTTAGAGGAATAAATCTAATTTCAGTATCTTTTTTGGGTTTGTTATATCCACTTGAATTTATCTTTTTCTTAAAATTTATTTTGTAGAAATCGAATCTTAGATCTCACAATCTTATAATTAATGACGAGAGTTAGTCTTGTATTTTTTTTTATCTGTGAGAATCTTTATATTCAATATGTAATGTTTTTTTTTAAAGATTGTATTAAAATAAAGAATGGATTGTTCTCTGAAATCAATGTAGACTTGGATGCCACTAATTCGTTCAATACCATTTTTTTTGTCTTTGCAAATCTCAAGACACCGGAGGTATTATTGTTTTTTGTTTCGATTTTATTATTTTCTTAATTTATGTTTTACATTTTTGAAAAAAAAAATATACGCATTCGATTGTAAGTTTTTTTTTCTGTCGTTTGTGTTTTAATTTAGGTTTCAATTTCATTGATAGAAAATATGTTTTTTACAGATATTTAAATATTTCTATTACAGTATGCATAAGTCAGTCTTTTCTCCTTATACAAATTTAAAATTTGTTGTTGATATATATACAGATATATATTATTGTCACTAAATCGATAATAATATTTTATATTATACAATTGTGAATTGATAAATAAAAATCCGATATAGTTGGAGCAGATCACGAAACGATCCACGGATTCAGTGAGGGGCGTAAAATCAAGTGCTGGATCATGACACGTGTCATCCACGCGTCAGTAATCGGAATGGGCGGCTTAAACTTTTCCTTAGCGTATAACGCGGAGCACACGATTATGTCTTCCTTTTATGGATAAGATGACGTGGCTCACAAAGAGAGGATGCTGGTGAACTTTTTCAGAAAGGGATCACGTGGACGGTCAGACGAATAAACTAGATTTTGATTATGTAATAATATATAAAATAATCGTTGGTATTATTTGCATTTATCATTTTCAAATTATGTAATTAGTAAATTAAAATAGCTGAACATTTTTTCCACAGGCTTTTATTTAGTTGAAAAATGAACAAAACGTAAGCGGCAGGATTTGAACCTGCGCGGGCAAAGCCCACATGATTTCTAGTCATGCCCGATAACCACTCCGGCACGCCCACCAATGCGTTTGTCTGCTCAATTTTATTTAATTATCCAAAGAATTTCCTCACTCACCATCACCATCACCATCACCATCACCATCACCATCACCATCACCATCCATCCATCCATTACATTTTCCCCCTACTAACAAAAACACTTCTTCTATTCCTTTCTTAATACACACGCAGGAAAAAAATAAATGGACCTTGCACTCATTTTTTTTTCGTCCTTTTCTTTATTTCCCCCATCCCGACAGACAACGTGGAATCAATAAAATGAGAAAAAAAGGAGGGAGACTGACATCAAGACTTGTTCTTGAACTTCCTCTGAACCTTCAAGTCCACCACAACGACGGACATGTTATCCTTACTCCCCTTCTGAAGGGCAACCACGGAGAGGTACTCGGCCGCGGCCTGAGCCGCCGGGTCCGCCCCTCTGCCCCTCTCGGCTAAGGCCGGGCTCCCGTTCTTCTTGTGCCACAGCAGGATCCGCCTCCTGGCCGTTTCGCATGCTTCCTGGTTTGTCATCACGTCCCATAGCCCGTCGCTTGCCAGTACGAGGCACTCGTCTTCCCGGGTTCGTGGTATGAACGTTACCTCGGGTTCCGGGATTATCCATGGCTTCAGATATCTGTCACCTGCAAAAGAGGTCCAGAGGCGAAAACTCGGGTATTCATGTTTCCTCTTGGAGAGTTATGTTCTTGCGGGCTTTGACATACTGAAATCTGTTCACGTTTCGGTTCGCGTTCAGCAAACCGAAAATTCAGATACCCGACCTTGGTCAACTCGTTTTGAAATTTCGTATTTATACCCGAATTCGGATACCTGAGCAATCGAAAATTATCCCGGATACCCAATCTTTGGTTACTCGACCAAAATGAGTCCAAGATCGGTATCATAAGACCCTAGACATTCGGTTTCGATTTTGATAAGCCAAAAAATCACGGATATCCGATCGATACCCAACCCTACCTCTTCATGGGTACAAACACTTTTTATTCAAGTGAAGGAAGGGTTGGAATTGGCAAAGAACACTTACCAATGGACCTCGACATAGCGAGAACACCAAAAACACGAGCTCCATTCCACTGTATAACCTTCCCTCCGGATTCATCTATCCTCGCATACTCGTCTTCTCTATCCGGCTGCAAAGAAAATTAGCCTCACGATCAACGGACTTTAAGTTCTCAAATCCTGGAGAAACCTGAGAAGAGGAAAACTGGAAAAGCATTGCATTACTTTGTGATCAATAGATAAAGCCATTGATTCTTTGCCGCGGTATAAAACCGCTCTCCGCTCTTGAATCACCGCAGTTGGCAACAATAATATGTGACGAACAAACCAAAGCAACCACGGCGGTGGATCCTACGGTCTCGGGAGCAACGGCCTCGAGAACAACGTCAGAAGAACCGGTATTTGGTCTGCCCCCTGCAATCTCATCATCGATGGTTAGAAAGCAACGGGTAAAGGCTCTTTCCCACTGAACCTGCCTACTCTCGCCCTTATCCGCATTATCTAATTCAGCTTTGCTTCGGTTAATCTCTTCGGCTAAAGCATAATGGACTCGCTCACGACAATAGTCAGCAACCTGCAAGGATCTCTTTCCCAGTCAACCACTATACAATACAAAAGGCTCGGATCAAAAGAAAACATCATTCAGAATGTTTTTTCAGATTCATTTACCGACAAAAGGAACGGGACAAAACAACTTGCGCTTAGAGCGGTCAAAGAACTCTCGGAATTACAACATACCTGTGAGCCCCCATGGCCATCATAAACTCCGAAAAAGTGCCCAGTGAGGTGAGTGAGACTGGGGCTCATCCCGTCAATAACACGATCCCCGATCAGCATTTTGATCGGTATTTTCAGAAAATGAGGCAAAACGGAAACCTTATCCTCCATCTCGTGCCTGTTCCCACAGATCGAAACCATGCCCCATATAGGTATACAATCCAGCTCAAACACACTCCTGCTCCCCGCTTTTGAGAGATGATTCTTTTCTTCGGGCAACCGAATGACCACCTCTGAAGCATTCAGGACAGACCCATCTGAAGCTTTCGCATTTGGATTCACGCTCATGATAAGGATTTCCGCTGCTGGAACCTGCTCTATGCTCGTCTCCCCCAGTATAATCGCCTTTGCAATAACACGCCCGTTTTCTATCTCCATTGTATCTGGCAAGCTTATTTCCGAGCCAGTATCCACAACTAATAACCCTTCGCTGATGACTGCACTCGCGTCCTCCCCCACGACCGATAATACCTCATCTTCGTCCGTTTCTTGAACAGTCTCATCACAGACATTTGCAGAAGACTCGGGTCCTCCTACTTGACCTTTCTCCTCTAACTCTGAATCCACTTCCAGTGCAGAGTCTGTCTCGATGTTATTACAACTTTGATTTGCCGAACCAGATAACATGCCGGCCGCATCAGTAACAAGCTTTAGCCGAGTGATTTCCACCGGTGATGAGATCCCCGAGTTATCGGAAATGGAGTTAGCCAAACTCAAAGTCATGGCAACTGCTGGAGACATCTCTTCCATCACCTTCTCAGACCAATATTTGGTATCAGAAATTCCGCCGCTACCGCTAATGTAATGAATTTTTCTACTTTAAACGCTGAATGGCTACAACTTCTCCGAGATGGGCTCAAACCATCCAATAATTTCCATCATTTTCTTCCCCTCGCTACCAAATCTCTCCGGTAACACTTCATCCATTTCAGACACGAACCTCGCATAGTTAACACGGATAAGGCAGAGAGAGCAAATCAAGAACAAGAGCATACCAATGAAGAGATCTGGCGGAAACCAACGGATCTATGCCTCGGATCCTCTGTATTTCACAAGATTTGATCACTACTCAAAATCATCAGGACCAGCTGCAAATCCCTAAAACCCTATCCAGCTATCAGTACCCCCTTAAAGTTTAACCCTATCCAGAGACGACAAGACACTCAAAGCTCAAAACTTTATCCAGTCAAGAACAAAGGGTCATGTGAAATTGAAGATAGAAAAAAAAAACAAGGAATCGATTGAAAAGGAAAAAGGGGAAGAAATTAATACACACGAATCACAAGAATACCCTAAAAAGTCGAACCTTTTTTTATATCTTCCTAGACACATATGCCACCACAACATGGGTTGGGTTCTCCCCTCGATCTAACAACAACAAAACCAGATTTTCAAGCTTTGCTTGGAACAAATCAAAGGAAAAAAGATTTACCCATTTGCTGTAGAAATCACACGATTCAAAAACAGAAAAGAGGACAGGGGGATTTCATATCAGTAATCCTCCGAGTACAGCTACTGACACGACGAACATATATAAAAAAAGGAAAAAAAAACGCACAAAAAAACCATAGGATAAAGAAAAAAAGGGAGCTTACCGGTTGAATCAAAGATACTCGCATTCGAGAAAATAAAAACTGATTAAACGGAGAGAAAACAAGAACGGAGTGAAGAAGCTTCTCAACGCTTTGGCTTTGCCCAGAGGCTCTACTCTATCAGACTGGAGAGAAGGGGGAATAATGTGCGGAGGAAATGCTTTTTCTCTATGTTTCTTTTTATTTTTCTTTGGTTCTTTTTTATAATTGTAATTATAATCTTTGTGTATTTATTACCGTAGGCTCTGTCCGGGCGCCACGTATGCGCTTGTTGTCTCGCATCGTTTGAAACGTTTGTCCTTTTCATTATTTTCTGCCTTTTTCCTTATTTAATTTTTCTCTTAAAAGGTCACGTCCATGGACACTTGTCGACCAACAAACAGTAGGGGTAGACGAACGGTCGGTTACGGGTTAATCGGTTACGGTTATTTTGGGTTCGGTTATTTCAGATTATTAAAACTCATAACCAAACGGTTAATTAATTTTATTCGGTTCGGTTCGGTTCGATTTCGGTTCGGTTCGGTTCGGTTTTATCTATTTAAAACTATAACCAAACTATAACCAAATAAAGATTTGGTTCGGTTTCGGTTCGATTATAATATTTAAAAAATAAATTCATTTATAATTAAAAATATTCAAATATAATATATTATAAAATATTATCATAATTATTTTAACATATAAAATAATAATATCTAAATTTATATTTTGATATAAAACTATTAAATAAATAAAGATATTTTTTTCTAATGTTTATATCACACAAACTTTAAAAACAATGATAAAATACAAACTTTAAAAATAATAATAACAATGATAAAATGCATTTAAAATATAATAAAATAATTATTAAATCAAAAATATAAATATTCATATATGTATATAAATATATATAAATGAAGATATATAAATAGTTCGGTTCGGTTCGGTTCGGGTTCGGTTAATTCGGTTTATAAAAATTTATAACCAAATGGTTAATAATTTTTAATCGGTACGGTTCGGTTCGGGTTCGATTATTTTGGGTTTCAAAAAATCATAACCAAACAGTTATTTAATTTTATTCGGTTCGGTTCGATTCGGGTATTTATCGGTCAGATTCGATTCGGTTATTCGGGTTCGATTATTTTGTCCACCCCTAACAAACACCATCTAAATATAAATTTGTATGAAAATATTAAAAAAAAATTAAAAAATCGTATATAAATATTTTAAATTTTTATAAATTTTCTAAATAAATATTTAAATTATAAATTTTTTATATAAATATCTAAAAAAATCTTGAAATACAAATATTTTTAAAAATCTCGTAAATAAAATAATATAAAACAATATTTGTTAACGAATCCGAATGTTAATTTATCAATTTTTTTTATAGATTATATTATAAATTAAATATCATTAATAGATTTTAATTTTATTTGAGAAATTTTTAAAAATTTAGATATTTTTATAAAGTTTTAAAATTTTTAGATATTTATATAAAAATTTTATAATTTAGCTATTTATATAAAATTTTGTAAAAGTTAGAGCAGTTATATACGTTTTTTTTAATAAATAAATTCATTTTCTTTGGGTTACAATAACTAGAACAAATACTAAAATTTCCGTGAGAGTTGACTTGTCATTCAATAAATAACACCGCCACCGACAAAGTCAAGTCCAACATTATTCCAGTGCAACTAAAATAAATTCCTCAACATAAAAAAAATGGCTTACCATTCATAATAATAATATTATACCAAATAATAATAATAATAATAATAATCATCAACGATGATGACAAATTGAGAGCTAATATAAAAAGTTTATTTTGCAACCAGTTATTATTTATTGACCATTTTGGCTTTCCTCCTCCACCGTTGGAGATTTTGAGATTCATGTCGGAGGCACAACTGGGTTCAGTTTTGTGTCGGAGATCAAAGACATGAAGAAGTAGTTGCTGTGAGGTTATATCAGAAATAGAAACGGCTCTGTTCTTGCCTTATTCTTGTAACGCAAGTAACTGAGATCCATTAAGACAGAGATTTAGGGTTTGGGGCTTGATCGGAGATGTCGCTGAGCAAAATAAAAGCGATGGCCGACGGTGGCCATCAGATTACATACATGATCAATATAATGATATATATATATATATGTACACACACATATATGATCCAAATGTAGAAGATTGGCCATTGGAAGAAACCTTGGCATTGGCTAAACCGGCTTTGCAGTGTTGTGAGCCGAGGAAAAAGGACAGACCCGATCTCGCCTCTGGCCTGTCGCCATTGCTGGATAAGCTAAGAGATCTTGCATCAGAAGAAGATTAACCTAATTCTGACACAACACTATACTCAGTTCCACAAGCCAGGTTTGGTTCTTTGTAACCCTTTCTTCTCATAAAGAAAAGGACAAGCAGTGAACATTACAAAAGCACAGAAGAAGCTACAGTATGCGGATATGCAACAGCAACACTTCAGATGGCAAATGAATATATATGGCCATGGTAAAACCTAAAGACAGCATCTTGCTTGATGTCAGTGTCAGAGAATCATGAAATGATTTGAAAAGGTTGTTGGCCAAAACAAAGTAAGACAAGATGTTGATGGGATACTGTTATGTTGCATACTTGCATTCTGTCCTAAAACTATACACAAGGACCTATGTATAGTCTGTTTCTGATTCAAGTCTTGTAAGAAAGCCTCTCAACAACAAGAGAACCCAAGGGAGACGAAAAACCATCACCTACTCTCTTACACGCTCTCACTGCAACTCGCTCAAACCCCTTTTCTTTTTTCCTTTTAACACACAACAGCATCAACATCTGTCTCTGGTGAACATCTGTATCAAAAACCAGAGAATAGCTCGATCAATCCACCATTACTAGAGGATGAACCTGGAGAATGCCCAGCTTCTGCATACTGAAAGTTTTGAAAGAATACCCTAAGAGAGATTTCTAAAGAAACCCGAATATCAGAAATCTATAATGATCTTGGGGACATTGTGTCTTGAGTTGAAAACTGAGACATATTCGATTGTTTCTTATTAAGCTTTGATTTTAAATGCCTGATTTTAGCATCAACCCTGGCCGTGAACCCAATCTTAGTCCTCTCCCGTGCTTTTGTACGCTCTCGGGTCCACATTATTGTATCCTCGACGTCTCTCTTGTAGTATTTGATCTCTTGAATGATATGATGATCCAGTGGATTCAAGGATCTCTGGAAAGATATGTGAGTGAAGTAGGGAAGAACAGTGGCCACTGTGACCAACAATGTGGCTGCCCAATATATGGGCGCAGGCGCAAGAACCTCATCAAGAATTCTGTAGATGTTTCCAGAAAGACTCGGGGGCATCATCCCGTATAGTGCGAGGAACAGATACCATAAACCGATGCTTCCCCAGATCAGGACATGTTGGATCCAAGCGAAGTGGCTCATCGTTAGAGCGATCTGAACGTTCACTGCCCAGATAATGCAAGTAAACATGGTTGAGCCAACGGCATCCATGTCAGCTGTCTGGCCACCAGTTCTGAAAGCTTGTTCATATATAATTCCGATGTTGAGGAAGAATATGACAAGAGAGGAGTAAACACCATTGCCCATCCACCCAAGTATCCTATACCAGTCAAAGAACAAGTTTTTTGATCCTTGTTGGTATAATGCCGGGAACTGTAGAATGAAAAAACCAAAGATTTTGTGCATGAGTTAAGATCAGTTAGCTTCATGATTCACATGTCAAGGCAAAATCTGTAACGAAATCCACCTGCAAGCAGATCTCAGAGGAAACGTCCTGTTCGAAGACTCCTAATGCAATCACTGGCAACGAGGTAAGGACAACATTGAAGAGTAACAGGTAGTAGTCATTATATACTGACTGGCCAGAAAACCCGGTAAACGCCTCGAAGTAGAAGAGAGTGAGACCAAAGGCAATGTTTTTGTAGAAGAAGTAACAAATCTGGAAGAAGAAACATATATGTAAGAAACCGGAACTACTTACAGTAGAACAGGATGTGGACAAATATAGGCACACAAGCGTATATTTACCATTTGAGCTATTCTTTTGTAGCACCAGTGTCCATGGACGACGAGAAGCCTTTCCAAAAACCGGAACTGTGCAATAGCAAAATCACTAGCCATAACAGCCTGCACAAGAACAGGATTTGACAAAAATGTAGAGATGGGTGAATGAATAAGCAGATTGAAACTAAGCCTACATCCAGAGACATTTTCCCACACCAAGAACAAAGGTTACAGGAGAAACAGCCATAAAAACACACAAATTTACCCGAGAAATGTATTCTTAAGAGTTTGATGGGAAGAGAAATCACTGACCTGCATACCTTCCACCCCACTAATGCCTACACCGATATCAGCTTCCTGAATCATTCCCACATCATTTGCACCATCACCGATTGCCAATGTCGTTTTTCGAGTTCCCTCTTTTACCAACCTTGTTACCTTTGTATAGAAAAACGAAACAGACGATAAATAAAAGAAGAAAAAACTAATCTTTATCTATCATTTTTCTTGTAAATTATATAGCTGGGCGATAAATGCTAGGAAAAGAGAAAAATGAAAAGGGAATATACCAAAGCCTTCTGCTTGGGAGAGACACGACAGCAAATGACTGATGCACAATCGACTGCCAATGCCAGGAACTGATACTTCATATCATCCTCCAGCGCATAAGTTAGAGTTTTCCCGTCAATGATTAAAGCAAAAGCGGCATGTGGATCCTTCTCCAGCTTGACCATTTGTAGAGCATTAGTGATTTGATTCAAGATATTCTCCTTAATGCCCTGATTCAATGATGGAAATGCAAAATGAGTTTCAGATTTTAGTTAGAGGAGAGATCACTCAAGAATCAATTGAATCATTATATCTCTCTTAAGCAGAGCTCTAAACTCATACCTATCAGCTCTCTTTCAAGAACCCTAACCTCGGTTTTAAGGTCTGCTTCTTCAAGCAACTTTGGTTTCTTTTTTACAAAAGTGAACAATTTATAAGCTTTTCAGCTGATTGGCAAGCCAAGGAATTTTAGTAAGTGTTGATGCAGTGTTTTATCAATTCTTGGCATCGGAAACCCTTTTTTTTATCGCAATACATACCCCGTTGGAGTCTTGGGAGCCTCCATCTGAAATCATGGTTGTAATGCAGATTTGTTTCATGCCTTGTCGAAGTAAACTACAAGCGAATCTGCAGTTCACAACAAGCAATTGAATCATTAAAACTTAACAGATAAAGCAGCTTTTCTCATTTCTATGTTACATTCAAAGTAAAGCAAAGTTACTAACCCGATGTTGATTGCAGTTTCCATCTTGTCCCCAGTTAAAACCCATAACTTGAGGCCAGCTTGGGCAAGTTTATCTATGCATTGTGGAACCTACAGCCATGGAAACAAAACTAAATAAATGTAAACAAGATGGAAAAAGGATTGGACTTCAGGATTAGTTCATACTCCTTTCTGCAGTTTGTCCTCCACAGCAGTAGCACCAACAAGGATTAGGTCTCTTTCGATTATATCTGATACCCTCTCAAGCAGGGCGTCTCTATCAGAACCTATCGAGGTTTTGGCTTTAAGAAACTCGGCGTTCCAAGCTGAATATTCATCCTCATCAAGCTTTCTGTAAGCAAGTGCTAGTGTACGTAGCCCAGCTTCTCCATATTCATTTAAATGTCTTGTAGTAGGTGTCAAGTATGTCCGTCCATTTTTCGCTAACCGTTCAAAGATGATGCTGCAAATTTCAAGAAAGGGTTGCATGATACGGATGAAGTGACAAAAAAACCAAACAATATATTCTGGGAACGCTAGGGCAAAACATCCTACTCGTTCGTCACTTAAAAAAGCTTTAAAATTTTCTGTTTGGGCTAACCTGTCAGCTCCTTTGCATAGCAGAAGAATCTGCCCTTCCTCGTCTCGTACAACCACTGACATTCGCTTTCTTTTGCTGGTGAAGTCCAACAAATTCAAAACTTTATACTCCCTGCATTTTTTTTCTGGCATTCAATAAGGTTTGCTCAAAGGCAATTATGCAAGGGTACAACATAAAAGTTATATATTATCCTCACCTTTCAATTGTTCGGCCCGAAGAAGAGTACCTTTCGTGAACAAAAACGCTCGATTGGGTTCTTTTGAAGAACTCGAAACCAAACTCTCTTGCAGCAACAAGAAAAGCAGCTTCATCAGGCGATTCTGCTTCATAGGTATACTTGCCAGTCGTCTCGTTCAACTCGGGAATGGCTGTATGACAAATAGATAATATACGAAAGAACATCAAAATGTCATTTGCATGTGGTTCACTCAACCAATTCCCGTTCATGAGTCTGATATCCTCGAAACTAAACCCCTTTATGGGAGTTCTTGGATTATTCTCGCCTTCGTGATTTACGCAACTCTCCAACTCAATCTCTTGCCTACTTCGGTTATTATCCCATGAACCATAAGCTTTAGGTTGAGCCCTTGGAGTAGTAGACATTTCTCCACCATGTTCTTCGACGTCAAAAGCCATCTGCTTTGCAGCAGCAAGCTCAACTTCACTGGAACGTACGCCATAAGAAGTACCCGCAATTGAGCACTTGAGAAAGTCCATCTGGTTACATGTCAAAGTTCCTGTCTTGTCAGAAAGGATAGTGTGAACCTGTCCTAGCTCTTCATTCAAATTCGATGTCCGTGCTTGTGCTGGGACCCCGCTTTCATGATCATACATGTGCAAGTCTTGATTGATGAAAGTTGCTTGCAAGACCTTTACGACCTCGATCGAAACGTAGAGAGAGATGGGTATCAAATATCCGTAAAGCAATAAAGCAGTGATGAGATGGACAACCCCGGCATAAATGGGATTGCTTGGATTGGTTAAGTTCTCGGGCTCATCGGGTCGTAAGTACCACCAGTTCGACATGTGAAACTTTGTCTCCCAAGCAAATCCGGTTGAACTGACACACGAGATTAGAATGAGTAGGACAAGAAGAGTGTAGATGATATAGTCCATTGTCCTCTCAATTCTACTCCTTTTCGAAGGTGAGCTTGTCGAATTCTGCATGACTTTAGTATCATGACCCGTGAATACCACCACTCCATAAACATAGGCTGTATTCCTAAGCTTTGAATCTCTTAAAAGAATCTGACTCGGATCCAAAGGAAAGATTTGCCGCTCATATTCCAGGTTACCGACAAAGGTGTAAAGACTCGGGTTTGGATCCTCACATCTAATCGTTGCTCTGAAATTCTCAAAGGATTCATCGTCATCCGTAGGCAATGTCACTTCCAATGACCTTTTCACTTTCAAGTTTGTCTCGCCATCTAAGTTCATAGTCTCTACGTAGCAAATCCCGTCCTCATAACTCGAGGACAACAAAAGTAAATCGGCGGGGAAAAAGTCATCTTTCTTCACTTTCACAATGTCACCAACCTTAATCTTCTTCCACGTTCTACGACGAAAAACACCATCACCTTTACGAACATAAGCTTTCCGGGCATTTATCTTCACATCTTGCATAAACCTACGCCAATCTTCCAAAGCCTCCTTTAACATACTAAGCCCGACAACAAAGACTAAAGGGGCAATCATGCTCCATTTGTTGAACGGCGAGAGAGGAAACACCGAGAGAATCGCAGCTACCAGAAAATAGAAATTGGCAGCACGGTGGAATTGCTCGTAAAGGCACTTAGGAAAGAAAGTGATTAGGTTGTACCTCGTCGTGGAGACATAATTAGAACGGTATCTTAAAGGTTTCTTCTTGTGCATATGAGGCTGATTACAATGCACAATCCGGCTGAATCCCGGGCCGTGGATAGGATGAGGTTCTTCACCCTCAACGGCACTCGGTCTAAGGCATCCGAAAGTGTAAAGATGGCTTAGACGTAGCTTCGATCTCCTCCTACCTCGTGCCATTTCTTTGAACTTCAACTCAAGAGCAATGCACCACGAACAGAAACAGAAAACCGATTGTGCCCTTCAACAGGATCTATACTGTAACCATCAGCCACTACAAGGTCTACCCTTTCACCAAGGATAGTCAATCAATGCTTCAAAACTCCTATGCCCACCAATTGTCGGATTGAGCAAAACCTGAAAAAGGATAAACCCAAGTCAAGCCGAGATCTCCCAACTCGTAGTGTTGCAGAAGTGAAAGTTTGGTGGCTGAAATTAGAATGACAAAATGACCGAAAATGGCACAAACCCAAAATTCGGAAACCGTACGAAAAGGACATGGTACAAAAAGCACAACCTAGGATGCTCGAAACTCTGGAGTTCATCTCGAAGATGAAAAAAGCACCATACTTTGAAAATAAAACCAAAAGACGGTGTTCAAGTTTTGTCGGCAGACTCGAATCTGAATGAGACAGCAATCCATACTAAACCCCCAGTTGTAAAGATTTAATTAACCGTTTGAATCGATAAAAATCGTAAATCTAACTCCGATGATGAAGCAGAAAGACACTGGGAGAAACAATGACCAGAAGAGAATTTAAATTTGAACACATTTGTCTCTTTCTTACAGTGACGGAAGAACTAAGAACAGGGGACACTATCGAAATCTCGATTGATCCGAAAATTCAGATATATAATGATTGAGAAGGAATTGCAGAAAAACACGCAAACTCAATTGAAGAAAAGGAAAGATATGGGCATGGCCTTGAACCCAATAACACGTTTTCAGACAAGGCAAGAAACCAGATTGGTCGGAGGAACAGCAAATCAGGAGACAAACCCGGAATCACAGCCTCTGTTTCGTAATATGATTGGACGAAGTAACAGGAACCCAATTCAGCAAGAAGCTGATTCCGAGCCTAGAGCTGGTCAACAATGTCAGATCAAGCACCAGAAAGCTCCACTCAAAGCAGAAGACGGAAAAGAAGCGACTTTCTCTCTCCTTCTCCCTCAAGTCTTCTTCTTTCTTCTCGGCTATTCTCAGAAAACCCCCCAATGATGGACAAAGAATAGGGTTTTAGAGAGAGACAAGCTTCTGCCCGATTTCTCTCTCCTCCCCCCTCTCTCTCTCTGAAGCAATGCAGGAGCTTTCGGGTGTGCTTCTTCTTCTTCGTCTGCCTCTTACTTCTCTCTCTTCAACAATGATCTTATTAATCTTCGATTAACAACAAAATTAAGAAAGAAATTAACTTTGGTAAATGGTTTATATTAGCCAGATTACATTCTTCATCAGGAACAATTCTCAGTTGTGTGCCATCTACCCATTACCAAATCTGCATCGATTTCGACGCGTGAAACGAATTTAATCTAAATTACAGAACAATTATAAACAAATTTGCAATTAATTTGTCTCTCATTAAAAAATCTAATATTTTTTTTTAATAAATCACGTCATAATAGCAGCATATCTACTCAGGCTAAAGAAGACTCGTAAATTTATTAGTATTTTCTAAAAACAGTGCGAATATTCAAACAAAACATATTTTGCATAACAATTTGAATTCATGCATTTGAACAGTTTTGGAACAATTCGAAATTTTTGAAATGATGACGTGGCCAAATACCCCTTTTCCTTCTCGATGGGGAGAAAAGATGGCTTCTTTACATGCCTTCCTCTCATATGTGGACCCTATCTGTATTTATTTATTTTTAATATAAAGTTTCAAATATCAATTATTGGATTTTTTTTAAAAAAAACATTTTGCAAACTATATTGCCAAATAAAAGAAGAGAGGATTCTAGAAGACACTTTGTATCTTTTTTTTTTCTTAATCCAAGAATGGAGTTTGGCTGTACATATGAAAACATAGTATGTGAAGGATTACTTCTTAATTAAAAATATGAAGGCTATATATAACAAATTATAATATCCTTACCCAAAAACACAGATTATAATAAAATGTAATTTTTTACTAATTAGGGCTCATGCGGATAAAAAAAAATAAATCAGGATTAGAAATATATATTTAAGAAAAAATTTATGTATAATTTAAATAAAAATATTGTAGATTTTAAAGTTAATTACGGATTTTATATTTAAATTTGTTAGCATATTCGAATTATAATAACTAGAAAAAAATATTATTCAATTTCAAAGTTGAGCTTTTTATATGGATTTTTACTGAAAATAAAAATTATTTCTATAAATTTTATAAGTAAAATTTAAAAAAAAATCTGATTATTTCATAATAAATGCAAAAAGATGACAAATTTAGTAATAAATTAGGCTATTCACAAATATTTTAATATTTGAATCTAGAACAAAATCCATAAATAACACGTGTTTACTATCTAAATCTAAAATAATCAAATTTTCAAATGATTACAGTTTTCGGATAATTTTGCTCACACAAATAAATCCAATAAAACATTCGCGATTATGCCCTACGTGTATATATGTACATACATACATATATATATATATATATATATTGGCGTGAAATCCAAATTGGATGGAAATATAGACAATGTGGATGAGAAAATGGTTAAAGATTTTGATTTTTCAGTGCATAGTCGCAAATGACTTGACAAAAGATTTCTCTATCACTCGCTAATAACGTCTCCCTCCATCGATACAGACAGGCACTCACTCATATACATACACACATACAGATACATATACATGCACATATGTGTGTATAATATATATGTGTATGTATCTATGTGTAAATGGTAGTCAAAAGGTTTACTTGGTTTCGAAGGATAATCGCCATTACCTTTTCTTGGTATGTGTTTGTACTTCTCCTCGTGATTTCCTTTCCCCCTTCCACGCCATATTCCCTACTTTATATAATTATCTAAATAGTTCTAATTTCCTTAATATTTAGTATATCAATCCTTTTGGATTTTTATTTATTTTCAATAGAATATTGAAATTAAATATTTAAAAAAATCAAAAATTTAAAACCCAAATAAATATTTAGCAACATAAATTTTATAATTTATAAAAAATCATAATTTATCTCAAATAAAATAATTAGAAATTATTTAAGTATTCTCGCCGCGTCAATTATTCTACAAATTGCATTCGGTGCACCTCTCTCTGGAGTCCCTTCAAAAAATAAAACATTTTTTTTCTTGTAAAATATATGACCTGTTTGATAATATATACATATACATAAGTTGATATAGTTGCAATTAATTATCTAACTTAAAGTTGCCATTAAATATTATATTCAAAAAATGTATTCTGTGAAACGGTGAATATTCTAATGAAGCCATAATTTTATATGTATACATTTCAAATTCAGACAATATACATGTTATATATATAACATGTATATGCAGTGCAACTTACGAATATTGCACAATTAGGGGTGGCCAATTCGGGTTTCGGTTCGGGTTCGGTTCGGTTATTTCGGTTATAGAAAAACTATAACCATTCGGTTTTTATATAAATTCCGGTTCGGTTCGGTTTGGTTATTTTTCGGTTCGGGTTCGGTTCGGTTTTGGTAAAAAGTTCAATTTTCCAAAAAAAATATCGGTTATTCTCTCGGTTTTTTCGGTTATTTTTTATTCGGTTCGGTTCGGTTTCGGTTTCGGTTTTTCGAGTTTAAGTAAATCATAACCGTTCGGTTTTGATATCGGATTCGGTTCGAATACGGTTATGTCTTATTCGGTTCGGTTCGGCTCGGTTATTCGGTTAATAACCGAAATGGCCACCCCTATGCACAATGATACCGAAAACAAAACAGGCCGTATGTGACACGTCATCTCAACCGTCCATTTGTCTGTGAAGTGCGGCGTTGACAGCCGTCGGTTTGTTTGACCTTTGACCAATGTCATCTATAGAAATGGACGGCCAAGATTAACAGTTGGAGAACGTGGGTCCTACATAGAGGCTTCCCACCAATGGCGACGTGACTGCCCGACACTGGTTTTGATCAATAAAATGATTTTGAATGCATCATTCAGGTTTGAAATTAAATAAATAAAATTGGGCATACAATAATTTTAAAATCAAGACTTATATTCTTTTGATAGATATACGAATTTTAAAAAAAACATGGAAATTTAAATTTCATATGCGTGTGTCGGGTTCTTACGTGACAAAAAGAAAGAGGGAATTATACAATATTGAATATTTAATTACCAATATTAAAAAACAATTATTTTTAAATGATGGTATAAATTAAGCTGAGGATAAATTTAGGATTGGAGATATATTATATACGGGCAATATATTATTTTCCGATAGAGAATTTTGATGAAAAATAATATTAATGGTATTTCTTAAATCAATTAGACTTAAAGTATCACATGGAGATGAGTATTAGAGGGAGTCATTATCTATCATTTGCATAAAGTTATATACCACAAATTCTTATATATATACACATATAATGAGATGAGACGTGAATATGTATGTGTGTATATATATATATATATATATATATATATAATGAGAAGACGTGTAAAGCGTGTTGGAAACAAAAAGGGAATGATCAATCACATTTAACAAAAAAAAAAAAAAGGGAATGATGAAAAATACAGTAAGGTTGCTTTCGTGTGCCAAAGTCTTTGAACTCCCTTATCTCGTTTGTTACAGAAACTTGCAAAGAGAGTTGTCATGATTTCATTGACTTGACTCCTATATATAGTTTTTAAATATTTTGGTATTATCTATTTTGATCTTAAAAATAAAACTATACAAAAACTCAAAATACATAATAGCTTCTCAGAGCAGATTTTATAATTCAACTCGTACCCTTTTTTTTAATACCATAAGTTTAAAAAAAATTGGTTTATGTAGCATTTTGCCTTGTCGAAATGTAAAGTTGGGCTTGAAATAATAATTTGCCGGTTAACCAATTGACGCAACATGAATTTTCTAATAATTTTAAATAAGATATTATTGAAAGATATATCATTATTCTTTATATATAGATAGGTATATTCTGATTCGTGTACGATAATGAAAAATAAATTACATTTTATAATATAGAATTGTATGTATTTGATGAATATTTTACATGTGCATATACGGTGGGTCATCATGGACACTTGCCCCTAACAAATATATGCACATAGTTTCTCTTATATGTGTATATATATATAAAGTTTCCATCATGTGGTTTCTGGTTATGATTCAATTCGTTAAAAAATCTAAGACGGGGGAGTCAGAGGTTTTTATCTATAAAGACAGGACATGAATAACAAACAGATCAAACAAAAAGCTTAGAAGTGGAGAGAACAACCCTAACATATGGAGGAGATCCAAATCCAGTAATACCAAATACCAAAGGATTCTTTCCAACAAAAGGCTGATGAAGCACATTTCCCTGTTTGACAAAAACATAGTTGTGGAAAACAAAAAATAAGAACAAAGGAATTGTGGCAAAAGCATCAAGCTCTATGATGTTCTGAACTTCTGAATCAGACAGAAGTTTCTCAGATCAGTAAGAATTCTATTCTGACCACGACGAGGACGAGGACGTACCAGAGGAAAAATCATGTGAGAAGGCTTCTGGCCAAGTGCTCGCGTGCCGTCGCAAGTGCTTGAGTTAACGTCTGCGGTTTGTGGAAAACATGAAGAAGGTTGGGTTCGGAAAAATTGCAAACTTTTTGGCAACAATCATCGGTAAATGGCAGTGTCAAACTGTTGATTTCTTTATCCAGAGGAATGCTGAATAGGTGATAGAAGAATTTGTTTTACCTGTTCGGACAGTGACCCGCCAGCTTCGGTGCTTTGCATTGCCACCTTTCCCGCAATGACATTGGGGTCTGTCTCGAGAACCATCCTGATACACAGCACAACAAAACGGAAAACGAGTGCAGTAAAAAATGTTAAAAGAGCTCCAAGAAAAAAGAATTTCACTCTATGGCCAAAGAAATCTATGGGCAACCAAGTTGGTTGCCATGTTAAGGGAGGTAATACATCGGTATACATAGATACAGGCACCATGCGACCTCGTGGACCTATTGAATTTTTCATCGGAATGCCATTAATGGTTGAAGAAAAGTGTATCAGACTAAATCCTACCCTGCTATTCCATAGGCACATAGCTAAACATTTTGACAAGGTCATATGCTCAAGTGAACAATCTAATGTGTTTTTTTTTTCTAAAAGAGTAAAAGTACTTGTCTAGTCTATTATTTTCCTATTACTAAGGTGAAAATCTTATCATAAGCATAAGCTCAAATGGTAAATTCCAAACTAAATATGATATCACCAGTTCCGGTTACAAAGTATCCGTGCAATTGCCAAGACAATAAGTTCTTTAAGTTATAATGGAGGAAAAGGGATAAGGAAACGCTTGATTGTCTAACTGACACCTCAAGACTTTGGAACCATGCATACGATCTTTCAATAGAGAACCATCATAGGAAGTCCAAAAGGAGGTAAATGTTTTGAAACATGTGTGTAAAATATAATCTCATATGCATCCAGCGATAACTAAAACACGGAAATTTTGCAGGAGCCGATTTATAGTTTACTTCAGACAACACATGCCATATGATGTCAGTTCAAATCTGAAGTAACACGGCTTTCTGTATGCAACATCTATCTATCAGTCTAAACCTCCCTCCAAATGACCTTCCCTTTTGTCTAAAGAATAAGTCTGCCTTAATTCAAGAAAAACTACACCCAGAATAACAAGTGTTGCATGTCTATTCAGGAAAGAAACTGTGAAACTAAATTAAGACCAAGCATACCCCTGATCAATCATCTCATCAAGGCACAAAAAGATGAGATCCAAATTCTCAAGTGCTTCCATCTTGTCCACATTGTTTCTGCAAGAGAGATAGGATGATACATGTTGATTGCAGAGATCGAAGATCAAGAAACAGGTATAGAGTCACAAATTGCATTGAGTCCCGGTAAGCAATACCTCAAAAGAAGTGCAACAGCATCAAAAAATCCCTGAAGAACAGAAGATAAGATGAGCTCATTTTCGTTTTCACCCCCAGTTACAAAGAAGTGTAGGTCCTGGGCGAACTTGTAGACGACGATATTATTGTCCAACAGTGAGATCTCAGCTGCACATGGTGACATACAAACCCAAACTTTGCTACACATCTAGAAGTGATAAACAAGACAAAATACCATACACAAAGTCATGTAAAGCTAAGACAGCCAAATCATAACGACACTTACCTTCTGTACGAGCATTGGTCTTAGAGGTCTTCGAGAACACATGCTTTTCAAAGGCCAGCTTAGCAGCATTAGTCGTCCAATCATCTGAGTAATACTTGACAGCCACACGCTTCCCTTCAGAGTCTAGCAGAAGAATGTTCTTTACCATTGGACATGAATCCTGCTTAACGAAGAAACAATATAAAACAGCCGGGATATTCGGAGAGATATGATAGTGGTAACCCAAAAAAGACAACAAAAAGTTGAATTTCCATGAAGACAAGGCAGCAAAAATGCCTAAAAGAGTACAGACAACACCAATCTTATCAATAAATCCATCCCAGAGTTCATCATCAACTAAGCATATAGTGTTCATATTTGCCCAGCTCAACGACTGAGAGAAATCAGCTGTCAGCATCTAAGGCCCGATGAAAGGTTCTGCCCATTTATATCCCTTTTGCTACATATACATGCTTTTGAATACAAATTATATAACCCAATATTTCTAGGTGGATTCCCCATAACTGCCAATCACAGATTTTTAGAAATACAGACCTACAGGATGAAGTGACTGCTACGACAGATGGGAATCATGGGTTCCAGGCCCTCACAACAGAAGTAAGGTACTGTAATTCTGTATCCGAAAATATAAGCACGAAATAGAAAAAAACTACGATTCAGTAGATGTACTGTATTATCCGTCATTTCCTAAGCCAGCCACCGTAACCAAAGATGAAGAGACACTGAATCAACCAGACACATGACTTCAGGAGACAGAACAATTCATGAACAGAACCAAGGTTTCCTAACAACATAACAAAACCTAATCAAGCCTCCAGATGAACAAGATCAGGATCCATTGATTAAGTCTCAGATCTCCTAAGCGGGGAACACCAAACTCAAAGGATTGAATGGTGATTCTAGGAGAAGAAGAAAGATCAATAAAAACCTCCAGATCTGAACAAATGAACAACAGAATCCCATTTCCCCCAAAATTTCCCACCCCAAATACGCAAATCACACGATCTATAAACACAAAAACAACAATTCAAGCAGATAGAAAGCAGGTTCCAGTAGAGATGAGGTAAATGTAACAATAGGTAGAAACATGATTCCTTCCCTCAAGGTCCCGACCGTAGAATCATCAACGAGACAGAGAGAGACTTACAGCGGAGGAAGAGAATGGAGCCATTGATGAACCAGAGAGAAGAAGAAGAAGAAGAAGAAGAAGAAGAGAGTTTCAGCGAATGTGGAGCTCTAGGTGATCCTGTTACACAAACAGACTGCAGGCTCCGTCACGACCTTTTGCAGATCCGAAGCTCTCTCCGTTTTATTTATTTATTTATTCACACACACATATATATATATATATGTAATTTTTTTCAAAATTTATTTTTTTATATAACTAGGAGTGGGCCGTTTTAATATGGACCGTTGGATCTAAAGACAGATCGACGGTTACTTAAAGCTCACGTTAACGAGTCCACATTTCTTGGGCCTGCCGTTTCCAAAAAAACATATCAGAGCCCATAATGTTTTATACAGCGTTGAACCATATTGCCACCATTTATCAAGGCTTTTAAGGTACCGATAGCAATATTTGTATTCAATATTAGAATATCAATTAATATCCGAATTTATCTTAAAAATATTCTTATTATTATATTTACTTATAATTTTGTCTTGTAATTTATAGTAATTATTTTTTCTTTTGAAGATGAAAATATAGATTCAAATTCCAAACTCAAATAGAGATTGGATTATTCTTTGAATTCTGAGTCCTATAGTTTTTAGGTGATCCATACCAATATATATATATATAATGGTATTAATTTTTATTTTGAGTTTTAAATTTTATTTTTATTTTTTAAATTTTAGATGTTAGATTTTGGTTTTTGTAAATCTAAAAAAATAAAAAATTTAAATTTTTAGTTGATTTTTTTTTTATCAAAATGATTTTAAAGGTTTTAGATAAATTAATTTTATACACATCCCGATTTGACGAAAAAAATGTATAAAGAAAATCGCAACACCTAGGCTGGGGATTTCGGTTCGGTTCTTCAGAATCGGATCGAACCGAACCGAAAAACGGTATTTTTTTCGACCCGAAACCGTTCTTAATTTCCGAACGGTACCATTTTTAGAGAACCGAATTTTTCCGGAACCGAACTTTAAAAATCCCAAAAAACCGAATATTTTTAAAGAAAATCTATCATTTTTTAATAAAATCCGAAACCGAGTCGAACCGAACCGAATACAATATAAAAACCGATTGGTATCTATTTTTATAAAACCGAAAGAACCGAACCGATCCCTTCCCGTCCCGAACCGTTTTCCAAAACGCCCACCCTTAGCAACAAGTATAACGGGAATTTCCACAGTAAAAAAATCATAGAGAAAACAAGCGTGATTTATTTGGTTAATAACCGATCTGAACCGAATAATTATCGAGACCAGACCCGAAACCAAATCGGTTTACGAATTCCTAACAAAGATGTGGGAGCTTCCGAACTCCAAGAACTTGTGACAGAGAGTTCAGGGAGAACTAACAAACTCCATTTGTTTAATGTAAGCATTGGCCAAATGGCTATCCACCTCTCTGAACCATCGGATTCGGAACCAAGGGAGGATTGAATCAATGCTAAGAGCACGACAGATGATCATTGCTACAGTACAGTCTTTGAGCATGATCATGAACAAGGGGCCAATCCCAGTGACAGAACATGGAAGAATCATTCAAGCAACAATGCCCCGAATCCTGGTTCTACCAAATTAGGTCAAACTACCAAAAAAAAAACAAGGTCTCTGAGAGGATCCCAGGAGACAAGAACTCACACACCACAAGAATTCACATGAAAATCGTGTCAAAACAAGTCATCATCAAAGCCAAAATCGCAAGCAAAACCCGTTGAATCGTGCATCTGAAACAAGAACATGGCACAGAAGAAAAGGGACTCGAAAGTATCACGGGATCCGGACAATCATGATCTCATTTCTCGGTAACCAGACAGGAAAAATAGCATGCGATAAAGGCATTAAACAGACAAAACCTTACGAAACGCAACAAGAAGAACACTGGAGAGATTCCATGGCGGGGAGAAGAAACATCTAACAAGCAAAAACAAGGGAAACGAAAACGAATCAGAGAGAAGGCCATTAACAAGAATCAGCGCAGCCGGAATCACGAACTTAAAATGAAAGAGTAAAATCATCTCCTTGGTTGCTGAGAAAATGCCAGAAGAATCTCGTCAACGGTGGAGACGAGACATACATCGAAGAAGACAACGGAAATTTGAACATCTGGCAGAGAGGGAGGAACACGCGATAGAGCTTATCGTCCGACGTCATGATCGGACGGTTGATATTAGCCAATAGATTTAACGGTTCAGATCTAATTGCAGCTAATCCAATTCTAACCGTGACTAATGTCTTTTGAATTAGACCAAACCGGTATTATCCGGTACAAGATCGTTGCGGTTGAACCGGAAGCCAAAGCGAACCGGGATTTCGCGCTAAAAGGATTAACAGAACGGTGGGTTTAGGAGAAAAGACTGGCAGAAGAAGAGGAAACCTTATCTTGCATCAATGGCGGGTTCCTCTCTTCCTTCGTCTCTCCTCGGCCAAGGATCCTCATTACTCTTCTCTTCTCTGAATCAATACTGCTCACGACCAAAGCCCAATCTACTGTTCAAATCCGGAGAACGACGTCTTGTTCGTTGTTTCGCTAAGAAGAAAATCAGTTTCGTGGATCAGATCCTCGATTACATCGAAGGTATTGTCTTTTATTCTTCTGGGTTTTCTCCGGTAATTTATAACACATATGGATCTTTTTTGTTCTTACGGGTTTCTGGGGAAAAATGATTTTTGCGGGAAATGTCAGATAATTTACCCTCCTGATGTAGTGTGTTGTGATGTGAATATATATGTGTATAGTGACGAGTTCAGAGAAACTCGGTTGATCTTTAAAACTTGAAGGTGCATCAAGATCAGCTAGTTAGTTAATCTGCAAACAGAAACCAGGTTGCTTACTTGTCTTTGTGCTTTGTCTGAGGTTTCTTTAACTGAATTCCCATTCTCAGGGGGACCAAAGTTGAGGAAATGGTATGGGGCGCCTGATATTTTGCCAAAGGATGGATCTTTAACAGAAGAAGACCAAGAAAATGAAGGTTTGTTTAACATTGTTTCTTTTATATCTTTGTGTTGGTTTCATTTCATTGGCACATTGATAAAAGTATAACAGTGACATTGTGACTGATGAACAAGCTAAATATGTATTGGGTTCACACTCAGTCAATGTATCGTGATCTGTTACCTTTTCATTTGGAACCCTGCAGAAGAAGAAGAAGAGGTTGATGATGATGATGGAGGCAGAGATGCAGTGTTTGTGACCGATGGAGACAGTGATCTGGGTCAGGTGTGTTTCAGTGCAATTGAAAGTTTATGGAAAATTTAGAAAACTTGGTTTTGATAAGATGAAAGAGACTGAAAAATGTAATCTTTTAGCTGATGTAGATGATCATACTGCAACTAATTGTCAAAAGGACTCGGGTTAAAGCACTTGTCAAGGACAAAAGAAAAGCCGTGGAAGCCTTTGGAACTTATGTAGAGGTAGGTTTCACCCTGTTATAACCCTGATCGGTTTCCTTCTCTTCTCTCTGTAAAATAATCGGTGGAACTTTATTTGAATTGTGAAGTCAATGAGCGGGGATGCAAATGATAAGAGTTTCTTAAGGAAAGCTCTAAAAGGTGTTCGTGCAATCATATCACCAAGTGTATGTTTTCTGAAGCCTTTCCTCTCTCACCACAGATCTGTACTGATATAAGACATTGAGAATATTTCCTGTCTTGGTCCATTGGCAGGAAGGTTTCTTATCAAATATCAGGAGCTTGAGAGGTGTAAAACATGTAGTTCTCTTGTCTCAGGTAAGGATACGTCTGCATGAATCGCTGGCCTTGTGTTTGTCCAATTCCCACATCATGAATAGTGTATACCCTTTAAGATCCATGTGAAAACAATTCAACATGGGCAGACAAGATCCTGTCTGCAAATTTTCTTCACTCAATGACTATGCTCGATAGTGTCAAACATTTTACTGGTAGAGTTTGTATCAGCAACATTAAAAGCATTGGAGGGTTTATACAAGTAGCCTTGGCACTAGTTTGCAGACCTGGAACAGAAACTTTGCCTTTTGACATGTACAGTTCCTGAAAGATTATCGTTTAATAAGGCTGCAGTTATCTGTTTATGGGAGCAGCGACGGAATTCAAGCTTTGGTGAAAAACAATGCAAGAAAATTGGCCGAGCAAGATGAGACTGCTGTTATGTCTTCAGCTGTCCCTTATACGATCATCAGAACAGGGAAGCTGGAGAACAGCCCTGGAGGAAAGCAAGGCTTCAACTTTAAAACAGTAATTTCTTGATCTTCTTCTTCGGTTTATGAAACAAAATATCTGTTTATATTGCTGTTTGGTCTCAAAGAACACTTTACAATGAACAGGGAGCTGCAGCAAATGGAAGTCTTAGCAAGGAAGACGCTGCTTGTATATGTGTTGAAGCTCTAAGTGTGGTTCCCCCAAAGGGTTTGATATTTGAGGTAGGTAATATTCTTCTCAAATAGTTTATGTTTCGAACAAACACTGACATCTTGTTTGAAAAATTCCTCCTTTGAACCTATTTGGGTTTCGGAAATGTTCAAGGGTCTGTTTAGCGACTGAGTTCAGTTCATTACAATGAACACAGACTGTGGTGTATACTTATTGCCATTGAACTCTCTTTATACTTCCCCTGCGTCTTCTGATAAGCATTTTACCTTCCCTTATTAAGAAACAGACAAGAAAAGTTCATATATTATTACAAGACTGGTTACAGTGTTTCAAGTGTCCAACAGAAACATGTTGATCATCTGTTACTGATGCTTTGGTCAGGTTACGAATGGAGACGAGGTTGTCTCGGACTGGGAAGGGCGTCTGATAAAACTGATGGAGACTCGGAGTGCAGAGTAGCAGCTTGGAATATGAAACGAGAAGAACAACACATGATCAAACACCAAATGTATTTTACTCATGAACAACATATTCTCTGTTCATAAGGAAGAGAGTTATGTCGTGTGCAGATCTGAGACGGGTTTCTAAAGAAAACAATGAAAGCTTTGATTTTTCTTCGTTGTAATCATCATCATCACCATCATCACTATCAAAATTAGCTCTGCAGAATATTAGGTGGGATTCTAAAAGTTGTCATTGTGGGAAGAACCATGTTCTTTGGTTCCACACTTGCTTTTCCACTCATTACCAAAGGCATCTTTCAGGTAAGAATGACTTTGTTGGAAGATTATACAGATCCCCTACATCCAAATCAATGGCAATATGAGAAACAATTTGCACGAGTACGATAACAATGTCGATCTGAGCATTAGCTGAATTAAGAAATGGCCAAAGCCGGTAAGAACCCTTGTCTGAAATCACGGAGATGAAGAACATATGCAGCTATAACTTCGACAGAAAATATATGAGTAAACCTTCTTGAGGCCAACAAGCAATACACATATCATGTATAAAATGGAATTCTTACTCCATAAACAATTAGCTCAGAATCTAAAAAAAGACCAAGTATGGTTTGGTAGATTCATTACCCTGATGTTAATCTCTTCTGGTTGACCTTACCATCAGATTTGAAGGTCCCAATAGATTCAACTTCTGATGAAGCATCAATAGATCTGGCAAAAGAATTAGAAAGATCTGCATATAGGTTGGCCACTCTTCTAACGTTGTTATTGAGCTCTCTAATCAAACCCACATTTCGTTTCAAGTTATCCGGTTGTCTGGACTCGTGGTTTTGGTTGATTTCGTTGATCAGCAGTCGGTTTTGATCGAGAATGTCTTGAACTTGCACAAAGCTCTTCTGGAAGCTTTGCAATAGCTTCCCATCAACATGGCATCTGTCTTCAAATCCAGAAAACACATCTCCCTCCATCTCAGATTAAGCCAAATCCAAAGCTTGACTAATCTTATCCCCCTACAGCACAATCAGTACAAATCAAAACACGAGACTAAAGAAGAGAAACAGCTTGTCTCAGCATTCAGCAATAGAAAGCACAAGAAAGCTTAGATTACAGAAACCAGAAAACTCACAATATACTGTTCATCATACTGTATCTTTTTTCATCCATTAACCTTGACTTGGATCAACATTCTAAGCCCCTCGATCATCTTACACAATATTCGAGTACACTTTAAGACAAAAAAAAAAACAATCCTTTCAGTACAACGTGCCCAGATACATTTCAACCTCAAAACCTTCAGATTCGGACAAGAATCTAACATGGCGGAGCCAAAAAAGGCAAATCCGAATCCAGTAAAAAAAGGGGTTTTGTATTTTCAGCAAACTCAAAAGATATCTATCTACAAAAGAGAAAAACGAAGGCCTAAAAGTTTTTACTTTAAACACTGACAGTATCAGGGAATCAGGAATGTGCGTTAATGTCCCATATCGCTAAAACCTAAACTAGGCTAAAACTTTCAATAGATTGACAAGCCATAAGCAGATACAAGGAAAGGGCTTTTGCCCTGCATGATTCAGTTTCCTTACCTTTCAATCAGAAACCATCGAAACGGAGTGAAATCGAATTGATTTTCTCGGGAAACAAACAAGATTCCTTTTTTACCGTACAATCCTATACAACTTTCGGGTCGAAGGGGAAAAAGGAATCTTCTTGTCCTCTGCAGATAAACAGTTTGAGACAGTGAGATCTGAGGGAATATACAATGTTCTATGAATTTTGTCTTTTTTCTTGTTCTGTGCTTCTCTGTATCTCAATGTGCAGAACAGAGATATGGAGGTAAAAGAGAAGCAGCCATCTGGAGCGGGTTATTTGGATCCGATTCATAAATCCGACCCGTAAGACTTGTGTCAGGTAATCCGTAGTCACTACCGTTTCCCTAC